AGGAATGCACAGAGTCTGAGGCCCCTGTCCGTCGTCAGAGCAAGTCAGATGCAGGTGCAGCCCCGGATGACTGAGGATCTGGGCTCAGCGACAAGACAGGTGGGGAGTCGTGTCCTCTGAGAAAGCCGGCTGCAGGGTGCTCCCCTGCTATTAACATAGTTGATCACACATGCCCCTGAGAGCAGACACCACAGTCAGACTTTAATTAACCTCTGGGCCATACACTTAGAGAGCGTCTCACTAACGCAAGTGAACCAGCAAGACGGGCCAGCAGGTCAGCGCAGACAGCACCAGAGTCAGCCAGGCCACTCGCGATGGGCTGGATCCTTGCAGCCCAGGAGGGGAAGGATAACCAGCTCAGGTGAGCGATGGCTGTCAGCCCAGATGGAAGGCCCTGTCACTCGGGACTCTGTCCTGGGCCCTGACGTGGCCAGAATCTCATCGATAAGCTGGTAAGTTAATAAAATTGTCAAGTTTAACAAAGCTTGGAGAGAAGCCTCAAGTAGGTGGAGACCCCAAAAGTGGAGATTTGCGGGGACAAATGCGAGTTCTCTGTGTGGGTGCAGAACCCCTCTAGACTTGCCTCAACAAAGCTCCTGGGGCTGCTTTCCTGACCCCTCACCTATAATCCGGCCAGTTTAGCAGAAAGCCAAGCCGGGGCTGCAGCCGGGGCTGCAGACGCGGCTGTCTCACGCACCTGCGCTCCCTGACATGGCGTGGGCTTCACCCCACGTGTCACCTGCACCAGCCAGTCTGATCAAGCCTAAAACCAGTGGACAAGGCGGGCAGAGATGTTATTGAACGCACTTTACAGGTGCGGCTCCGAGAGGCCACCTGACTGCCCAGTACTAGCAGAGCTGGGGTTGGAACCCAGGTGTTTTTCCCCCAAATCCTGAATTCCTCTCGCTTTGGCTGGAGTCCCAGGAGGAACAGGACACGCCCAGCTGGGGATTAGACGGAGCTGCCCCCTGGCCAGGCTGGCGCCTGCGTGGATGATGTGCCCTGTGGAGTTTCATGCCAAGGGAAAGTGCTGTAGACATCCATACAGAAGACAAGGGAAGGGAAGCCAGGCTTCCTCACTTCAGGGCACATCCCCGCTTTGCACACGGGCCACGGTCCCTGCCACCATCTGCTGGTCATGGGGCAGCTCCGGCCGATGCGGGACGAGATCCCACAAGGGAGGAAGACCGCCGGGCGAGGGGCTCGGGAGCCCTGGCGGAGGCTGGCCGTGCAGGTGGGTCAGGAGGCAGGCCCGCCTCTGCGGTTGCCGTCGAGAGATTCACCCAGAGTTCAGCAAAGGCATACCCCGCCTCCACCCAAAAGGCTGCAGCCTCAGTCTCAATATGGGACAAGGTAGTTTTTCAGCCAAAACACCTGCAGTGAGGTCAAGCAAAGGCGCTTTGAGCCTGTGAGCCTCATAATTTATAATAAAGGTGTAGCGGCTGTGAATACTCTTACCCTAAATATTGTAAGGCTTTCAAAGAGCAGCCACTGCTGAAGACACGAGGAAAACAGGCGGGAACACGGGATCTGTAGAAGCGCACGTTTCTCCTGGCTGAGCTCCCCTTTGCCTGCTTCCTTTGAGTTCTCCAAATGCTTTCTGGTGTTTCATTTTAAGTGCGCCAACATCTTCTTGCTTCTTTTTGTATTATTCTATCAGCAGTGGCTCCAGGGATCACAGTAGGCTTACCTACCATCTCACACCTGCGTTCAGGTAATGTTTATAAGCCTCCCAACCATACCGCTTCCTTTCCCCTCCCCCGCTACGTTTCCGTGTCATGTGTATCCCGTCTCCAGAGTTAATAAACCCGGAAGATGTCATCATCTTGCCTTCAACAGTCACACACATTTTAAACAATTTAAGAGGAGGGAAAGAGCCTATCATGGTGTCCCAGGTTTTATTATTCACAAAACTGGGGAAGTTATAAACCACAATATAACTTTAATTAATTTCAAAAGGGAGAAATAATGCAGAAAATGTTTTTAAGTATAGTGAATTAAAACTAGAGGTTGACAAAAATCACAAAATCAAAACAGGCCTTCACTCAGAAAATTTTTTAAATCCCTATTCAATGTTTGAGTCAGAGGGAAATGCAAAGTGAAACTGCAGAATTACTGGGAAACAACGATGAAAATACTAGATGGAATGTATGGACCACAAATAGAGCATATTCACCAACTTGAATATTTACATCGGTAAAAAGAAAGTATATCCGTCATCTGACTTAGAAAGTTGGAAGAAGAATAAATAATCCGAAGCAAATCAGAAAAAGACTCAGTAAGGATAACAGGGGAAGAAATGAGTTATAGAATAACAGATGGATTTATGAATAAATGTAAAAAGCTGGTGAGTTACTAATCAAAGAAAAAAGGAGAAAATGTAGGACCACAGAGGGAGAAGCTACACAGGTCGGATGACCCCAGGCCCTGAGCTAAGTGCTCGCCACACACTATTGCACCGGCTCTGACAACAGGCCCGTCACAGTAGCTGTTAGCATCATTACTGTGTTTATCCCATTTACGGGTGAGACCCTGAGGCCCTATGACTCACTGAGTGGGGCCGGAACCCCGCCCCCGCTGGCGCCGGGATGCTGCTCTGGTCCTGATGGTGCTGACCGGTTGGGCATGGGAGCGGATGCCGACCATTCTAGCGTTGGCCCCGCCTCTCTGTGAGGTCACCGCGGCAATTTCCCGCTCCGGGACTGGACCCCTTTAACCTGAGAGTGCTCACAGCGTCAGGAGCAAGACAGGTACTAATCGTTCAAGGTCCCAAACACCTGCCTCTGTCTTAGGCAGGAAAGTGGTTTGCAAGAAGGAAGCTGAAAAGGAGGACATGATACCCAATATTCCATTTTTCTCTTACTGGACTGAGCTAGAGAAGAGGAAACTGGGGATTAGGGAAAAAATGAATACACGAATGCCCTTTGATCTTTGTTGCCAGTCACCGATGAGACGGTGGCAGGACGTCAGCCTGACTGACAGCCCTTCCCGCCCCTCCGAGTCCCCTCGAAGCTGACTGTGATTCTAACTCAGAGCTCCCCGTGGCTCCAGGCCCACACCCCTCCCTGGGGAAGACGTCAGGAAGGCAACAGGCAGGAGAGAGGCCGGCCTCCAACAGCCCACCCACCTTGCAGAAGAGGACGTGGAGGCCCTTCGCTCCCACGAGGACACACACAGCGCTGGTGGCCGGGCAGTGGTTCTCTGCTCCATGGTTTTTCTTCAGATCGCTATTTCCAGATTGTCTTTCCAGGCTGAACCCGGTAACTTTGTGTCAGATAGGGCTGCCCCGAACGTGCCGGTTACATGTTTATCTCCTTCCGCGAGTGTGGGAAGCTGGTCGCGCTCCCGCCGTGCCCAGAGCAGGACAGCGGGCCGTGGCCGCGAGCGGAAGTCACTTCTCCTCCCAAAGCCACCCCCACCCAAGTCCTTCCCCAGTGCGGCCCGTGGAGCCCCTGAGACTTACCCCCCTGCCTCCCCCAAAAGCTGTTACAGGACCGGCCATGGCTTTGACCTCAGCCGGCTGTGGCTGGGTCTCCAGGTGGAGCAGTGTGGGGCGGGGGAGTTACAGGGGCTGCCTGACCCTTACGCCTTGCTCTGGCCCCAGGAGGAGACTTCTTGACCCGGGGTGAACGTGCCCCCGGGGACATTCCATAATCCTGGGGACGTTTTTCGTTGTGACTCCTGTAGGGCAGTTTGCTACAGACGGCAGAGGCCAGCTGTTCACATCCCGATGCGCGCAGGCGGGCCCGGGACAGACCCACCCGGCGCAGACTTGCAACAGTGCTGAGGCTGGGGCCGCGCGTCCACCTGCCGGGCCCACACGCTCAGATTCCCAGGCTCCGGCGGGGCTCACATGGGTGAACAAACTTGCATGGGAAGAGCTGTGTCGGCTTTCCCATCCCCCGAGTGTTGAAGAGGAAAAGCTAAACTTTTACATCACCTCCTGCTCCTTTGGCCTCTGAAGCTCAGCTTGCTCCTTGCCAAGTCTGCATCACATGGGTCTCAGAAAGCGGGGACTCACAATACTAGGAGCCGGAGCTTATCTCACTCACCCTTGTCCTGCTCCTTGCCATCGCCCCGCCCCTGCAAACCCGCAAACCCGCTTCATCATGCTGTCCGTGTAACAGAAACTCTGTAACCCCTTTGTGCGGGCTCAGAGCTTGGCGTGTTAACCCCTCCGGGCCCGCCGGCGCAATGAGCCTGAGTGCTCCAGCTCTCCCAGTGTGCTGCTTGGGTTCTCGAGTACTGGTGTCTGCAACAGCATGAGATGAAACGCTGACCCCACAGGCCTGCTGTGAGGGCCGAGGTTGCGGAAACCCGCCCTGAGCCGAGCTCCTCCAGGGTGCCGCGCCCGGGGTGTCTCTGCAGCCTGGAGAGACCTGCATCTCTGGATCTGGTGGGGTGGTCCCCAAGAGCAGTGTCTGGATCCTCTCCCCCCTTCAGGGGTGATTGCATCTGGCAACAGATGACCACCTCTGTCTGTGCTGCCCAGGGAGGCTTCCCGTCCTCCTGGCGGGCTGCTGGCTTAGGGGCCTCCGTGGCCCTTATGCTCCCAGATTGTCATCCAGGTGTGTGAGCCTCAGCCTCAGCTCACCCCATCCCCAAAGACCCAAAAATGCCACAGGAGGAAAGAGCTCAAGCATTTAGGCATAACCTCCCCTGCTCAGCTCTTTGGCTGCCCTGGGGGCCCCAGCAGGCCCGTGAACCACAGGCTCAGACGTGAGCTGTGGTCCACGAGGCTGACCAGCACCACTGTTGGTGATGCTGTTCCGTCACCCCTTCTAACTTAGAGTAACCAGCCCATTGCGTTACTCCAAGGCAGAGACTCCAGACCACCTTTCAGACCCTCAGACGGGAAGTTGTGAGAAGGTGCCAATCTGCAAGCCAGGGGAAGGGTCCTCACCAGAAACCAAACCAGCCAGGACCCCGATCTTGAGCTCCAGACTGCAGGACCGGAAGAAGATAAGTTTCTATTGTTCAAACGGTCCGTGCAGGCATGCTTAGTCACTGCAGTCGTGTCTGACTCTTTGCGACCCCATGGACTGCAGCCTGCCAGGCTCCTCCTCTGTCCACGGGATTCTCCAGGCAAGAATACTGGAGTGGGTTGCCATGCCCTCCCCTGGGGGATCTTCCCAACCCAGGGACTGAACCTTGATCTCCTCCACTGCAGACGGATTCCTGATCCACTGAACCACGGGGAAGCCCTCAACCACTGGTCTGGGGTATTTTGCTCCATGGCCTGAGCTGAGACAGCTTCCATCTCGCCTGGAGCGGACCCACAGGCTGTTCCATCTGCAGTCGCCTCCCCAGCGCATCCCAGTATTCCGGGATGGTCCTTGTGGTCCTCACGCCGGCCAGCTCATTCCTGCCCCCACTCCCGCCTCTGCCCGCAGCCTCTTCCCACAGCTGACCTCCCAACAGCAACGCGCACAGCCCCGCCTCACCACTGATTGAAATCTTTCTCCTGCCGCCGTGCACCGGCTCTGTCACCTCCTGGAGTCACACTGTAGGTCCGCTTCGTCACCCACTCCCAGAGGAAAGCTCTGGGTGGACACTGCCGTCAGCCCTGGGCCCTGATGCCAGGGACGAAGTCGGAGCTCAAAACTGCAGGTCAGGTAGGTTCCTTAAGAGCCAAGCGACACAGAATTGACACAGAGAATTCTCTCTCGATGCCTGTGACATCCTTACTGTGTGGTCGGGACCCAGGGGCTTCCAGGCCTCCTCGGGACCCATGAGGTCAAAGCGACTGTCGTGAGACAAAGATGTTACGTGTCCTCTCCACCCTCCTTTGCTCTTGAGTGCCCAGTGGAGCTTCTGGGCACCTCCACAGTGTGCAAAGTCCCGGCAGATGGTGTGAGGCTGCCAGGGTTAATACCATGACAGGCGGCCTGGACCTAAGTTTTGGCTTCCCCTGAAATGATAAGATTCCCTACCCCCATCAGGTAACCTGGAGCCAACCAATATGCGCCCAGTAAGAAACAAAGGAAGAGCTGAAAAGCCCGCGAATGCCCAGGTTTGAAAAAGCCCGCGAAAGTTTGTACCAATAAAATTGCTTTGCAAACATGTAACCAATCTGCTTAAGCCAGCTACTAATCGCTTATGCGTACCTTATAAATTTGGATAACGGCCTCTGCTCAAGGCTTTTCTGACCTTGCGCCACTGTGTTGGTTGCAGCAGAAAGCCCTGACTCGAGTCAGTAATAAAACTTCCCTTTTTGTAAATTGCATTGTCTTGGAAGTTCTCTCTTCCCGCTCTGGGATTCGGACATCGGGCAGAACAATGGAACGCAGGGCAGATAGGAGAACGCGGACACGAGGGTGATTTGCAACGATATAAAACAATACCACTCACCTCGCTGAGTTTGTTTTGGAATACAGTTCGTTTTCCTACAAATGTGTTATTTACATGAATGTGTCCTGTGTCTGATTTGACTTTTAAATGGATGAATGTATTTTAGTTCCCCAGCTTTAGCTTCCATTATGATAAATAGCAGCAGTGTCATCCACATCAACAGTATCTTTCTGGGGTCCTCAGTGGTGTTCAACAGTGAGCCGAGGTCCCCAAACTAAAAGTTTGAGAAGTGCTTCCACGGAATCTTCTGCAGCAATGACGGGATTGGGTAGATTGCTCTGCTTCATTAATCTGAAAGCTCTTATGTCATCTTGTTACTTAAAAGGACAAGTTACAGACCCCTAGTCAAAGCTATATAGTCATGTATGGATGTGAGAGTTGGATTGTGAAGAAAGCTGAGCGCTGAAGAACTGATGCTTTTGAACTGTGGTGTTGGAGAAGACTCTCGAGAGTCCCTTGGACTTCAAGGAGATCCAACCAGTCCATCCTAAAGAAGATCAGTACTGGGTGTTCATTGGAGGGATTGATGCGGAAGCTGAAACTCCAATACTTTGGCCACCTGATGCGAAGAGTTGACTCATTTGAAAAGACCCTGATGTTGGGAAAGATTGAAGGCAGGAGAAGGTGACGACAGAGGATGAGATGGTTGGATGGCATCACCAACTCAATAGGCATGAGTTTGAGTAGACTCCAGAAGTTGGTGATAGACAGGGAGGCCTGGAGTGCTGCAGTTCTTGGGGTCGCAAAGCAACTGAGCGACTGAACTCAACTGAACGATAGACTCCTGTCTATAGCCTGACACCATTTATATAAATCAGAGAAACCATAATTGTGATTTGTTTAGCTGTAATGATACACACAGGTATCTTCACAGCAAAACGTCTGGTGGGAAAACTGGCCATAGATCATGGTGGCCACGCTGGGGAGGAGAGCAGATGGAAGGCACGGAAGAAGGGCTTTTATTTTTTCTTACGTGTATTTTATGAATTTTTGTACAATGAGATTTGTTCATTTATTACACGGGCTTTTTAAATTAGAGGATGGAGGGGAAGAAGAAGCCTGGAGAGAGTGGGCTGGTCAGCAGAAGGAGCCTCATGGGGAGGCGGGAGGCCTTACAGACAGAAGGGAGCCTGGGGCCATGGGGTCGGCCACCAGGAGCTCGGGGGGCCTCCCACCTGGGGACCTGACAGTCAACACACGGGTGACTCAAAAGCTGAGCTGCAGCTGGAGACGCAGGCTTGGTGGGCAGGGGCCTGGTGTCTGGACGCGGCAGCTCCAAGGGCCTCCGCTGTGTGGTCACGCCTGAGCCCTGGGCATGGCTGGGGTCTGGGAGTGTGAGCCGGTCCTGGGGGAAGCCTCCGACATGCCGGGGATGGCCGTAGTGACCGCGTCCTTCCAGCTCCCGTCACCGGGGCAGCCTCTCTGAACCAGCCTCGTGCCTCGGTTATTGATACACTGTCTTCTGCCTCTTTTGACTTTCCCGGTGGCTCAGATGGTAAAAGTGTCTCCCTGCAATGCGGGAAGCCCGGGTTCCATCCCTATTGGGAAGATCCCCTGGATGAGGAAATAGCAACCCACTCCAGTATTCTCGCCTGGAGAGTCCCATGGACAGAGGAGCCTGGTGGGCTACAGTCCATGGGGTCGCAAAGAGTCGGACATGACTGAACGACTTCACTTTCACTTTCTGCCTCTTTATAATGAACTTCTGAAGGCAGAATGTGCCAGAACTCACTCACCAATGAGGAAACGTGGGCTCAGACAGACGCTGGGGGCCCCGGGGTGGGCCAGGGCCCAGCCAGGGCCTCCAGTGGGCAAGCGGCATCTGGCTGCCCTCGTGAGGGGCAAGATCTCGGCGGGCAGGGCCCCTTCCAGGACGAGGGCCTTGGTGGCAAGTGGTCAGCAGTGGGCGTGTAGCCTGGGGTGGCGGCTCTGGGTGAAAACATGCTGAACTTGGAGCAGAAAGCTGTGACCTTGAGGACAGGGGATCTTCTGGCCCTCTGGATGGTCCTCTGTCTGGTGAAGTGTGGGGAGATGGAGCTGGGTGGACAGACACACTTCCAGGATGGGCGGCGTGGACAGGTGGGCTCAGGACCACCCCCCTTCAAACCTTTCCCGCACACCACAGCTGGGGGTGGGGTCATTAGCAGGTAGAGTCACGCAACCTGAACACTTGGCTTCTTTCCTCGGATAATCTTTTTGTCATCATCTACACCTGCTGCGGCTTCTCTTTCGAAGACAACAGTCCACACCAGTCCCGCCCAGAGCAGAGAAGCCGGGAGAGGGGGGACGCCCGGCGATGACACGCCACGCAGGTGCCCGCGACAAGGCCAGGCTGACGGGCGGGTCCTTGGTGCATTTCTGGTGGGAACCATCATCTCCTCTCGGGCGAACCTCCCCCAGAACGTGCCGGGCGGTCTCTGCTCTGCTCTGGGGGTGCTGCCTCAGCCCCCAGCACCGTAGGGTCAGTGGTCAGCGCTCCCTCCTGACTCAGGGCTCCTGCCAGCACTAGGGCCTGTTGCCTCCGGAAACGGACCGGCACCACGTCTTTGGGTTTTCTGGGGCTGCGGGGATGGCCCGCACGCCTGCTGTGGACTTGGGGAATTTGTGGGTGGGTTTAAGAACATGAATCCCAACTGCACTTTCAGGTTGGGTTGTCCCCAGAGGTGAAGACTGATGTGGTGTTTAAGTGCGGTCGATATTTACCTCTTAGGTCAATAAACTTGATGCTTATCTCAATTCATGATGATACCTGCGGAGAGTTTGTTCTGCTTCCGACCTTTCATCAAGCAGCCAGTGGGAAGGGGGGCAGCTTGGATGGAAGGATCCAGACCTCTGTCTTCACTTCTCCGGGCCCCGTCCCCCGGTGGCTGGGGGCCTCTTCCCCTGGCACAGAGGCACCTCACTGCAGTTAGTAGGCCTGCGAGTGGCAAAGACTGGGAACAGAAGCCCAGTTCTCCGTTTGGATGGACTATAGAGATGTCAGCACTGATTTCAGCTGGGGCTTCTTGGAAGCAAATTTCTGGGGAAAGTTACCAAAAGAAGCAGATGGCCTGGAAACTGGGACCACAGATGGGAGGATTCTGGTTGTCACGGGCGGTGCCCGATGGAGAGCGAGGGCCTGCCTCTCGGCTGGAAGGAGCCAGTGGTCAGGGAGGTCCTGCTCGCCGGGTCGGGAAGGGGGCAGGCGGACGAGCTGGCCCAGGCCCCACCACTCACTGAGACCGGGCTGCCTCCACCGAGGGAGGTGTTTGATTTCACACTTGAGCTTGGCTGGACGGCAGGCGCCCGGACACTTGGACGGCATGCTGGGTGTGTCGGTGAGGGTGTTCCCGGGTAACGCTTGAATCTGTAGCCTGACTACAGCAGACAGTCCTCCCCACATGGGGGGGCATCATCCAACCTGCTGGAGGCCGGGACAGAGCAAAAGCGGGGTGAGGGAGACCCCCCTCCCTGCGTCTATTTGCAGCGGGGACCTGGCTTCCCCTCTGCACCCAGCCTGCGTCTCCCACCCACGTGTCTCTGGCAGACGGCCGATCGGGGGACCCCACAGCCTCCGCACTCAAGGGAGCCAGTTCCTTACCATGAAGGCATAAACCTGCGTGGTGATCTCTGTTACTGGTCCTCTCGGCGGACTCTGGCTCCCCTCTGTACTTACGGCTCTGAAGCTCGCAGCTTCCACGGCCTCCTGACCCCCGCTCGGTGAGGATGCGACAATGACCGCCTGGCCAGCTAAGGGGCCGGTCAGCGTGACCCTGGGGGCCCCAGGACGCTGGCCGCCTCCGGGGAGCCCGCATGGACAGCAGGCTTGACACAACGGGTCTCAGCCTCAGCATGGACTGAGCCCCCAGGCCTGGAAGCGGCAAGCAAGGCCAGACACACCTGGGGTCCTGCTCACACAGGTCAGTGGGGTCTCAGCAAGCTGCTGCTGCTGCCAGGGACACTAAGGGACTTGCCTAAGGGGGCAGGTGCCCAGGGAGGGGGGCAGGTGTGGAGTCAGGTCACCCGGACTGAATCGCTGTTCCCTCTGGACAGCTGGGAGCCTGATGTAGGGCCAGCTCCAGGGAGGGGGAGCTCTGGGGACACGGGGCTCAGGGAGGCGGTGCTCGGGGGTCCTGGGGGCCCCCTGGAGCAGCTGCACCATGCCCTGTGTGAGCCCGCAGCCCCCACCTCTGCCCCACCGTCCTCTGCGAAGCTGCCCGTGGTGCTTCCCTAGGTCGGGTGGAGGTGCCCCAGGTGGTGCAGTGCTCTGACAGCAGACACAGCTGCCTCACCTTGCCCTCCTGGGCCTCTAGCCCTCCCCTGCCAGGGCCCCAGTGGGTTCCCCGGTGGAACCTCCCAGAACAGCCCCACACCCCCAATCAGAGCCTGCCAGCAACGGAGCTGTTTTGACTGAAGGTCGGGGGGCCGCCCCCGCCGCTGCCTCTACGCCTCAGGCTCTGCAGAGCACCTTGGAACCTCAGCCCGGGCCCAGACAGCCTCCAGGGGGCCCGCAGCCTTTCCTGGCCCCAGCAGATGTCCGCAGCTCTCAAGATCTGCACCTCCTCCTCCAAGGTAACACGTCAGGGCAGATGGACTGCAGAAGCAGGCAGGAAAGAACCCAGCGTCTTCTCTTAAGCCAGATGGGAAAGAGGTTTGCAAAACTGCAACTATTGTTGTTTGTCATAAAATATTTATGTTAAAATATAAAGGGTTTATGATTATTATTTTTAAAGAAATGAAGAAGTGTTTTAAAATGTTCTCAGTTTAATTTTGTAATATGGTGAAACTCTGATTGGTAGTTTCTAATATGATAAATATCACGGGATACCACTCACATACACGGATGCCCTCTGGGGCCCTCGGGCACTTCTGAGTGTGAAGAGGTCCCGAGACCAAGCGCTTGAGGGCCGAGCCGAGGACCCTGATCCGCAGCCCACCCCCACCCCCAGCGAGCCAGCGTCCTGAGCTCTCGTCACCTGAGCCTCTCAGGTGAGGTGAGGACACCCCGCTTCCCATCCTCCAGGCGCTCTTCTAAGTCCTTTGCAAATATTAACTGACTTTTTATAATGCCAAGACGCGAGCATTGCCATTAACCCTGCTTACAGAGGAGTTCACACTTGCTGCTGGCCGCGCAGCTGGCCAGGGCTAGGGTCAGGGTCCAGTCCAGGCAGGCAGGCTGCGGGGTTCAGGCTCAGCCCACGGGCTGTGCTGCTCGCACAACAAAAGGCCCAGAGGGACTGCGGCGACCTCCCGGGCCCACACCTGCTCTGAGCCACACATGCTGTTTAAGAACAGTCTGCCATGTCCTGGCCCAGTGGTTTCCAGTCACAGAAGTTACTGTCTCCCATGGTTTATAGATGCCTGGCATGTGTGTGTGTGTGCATGTGTGTGAGAGTGTGGGGGGGGTTGTGTGTGTGTGAGTGCGTGTATGTGAGTGTGTGCGTGAGTGTGTGTGAGTGTGAGTTTGCTAGGACTGCTGTAACACACCATGACTCAGTGGCTTATTCACAGAAATGTGTTTTCTCACATTTCTAGAGCTGAGAAATTCAAGAACAAGGCATGGGCAGAGCTGATTCCTCCCAAGGCGTCTCTCCTTGCTGCATAGATGCCGTCTCCTCCCGTGTCCTCCCGTGGCCGTCCCTCTGTTTGACACTGTGTCCTGATCCCTCTTCTTATCAGGACACTGGTGAGAACAGATCAGGGCCCACCCATGAAACCTCATTTGCCTTAATCACCTCTTGAAGCCACATCCGGAGGCACTTGATACTTGACTGTGAAATTCTCACCTTATTCAAAACCTCAGATGCTTGTCCTCTTGGGCTGAGCCCTTCTTTGCCTCCTGGGGAAACAGGAGCAGCCGGTCTCCTGACACTTGCCTCTCTTTCTTGGTCCAGCATCTTTCCCTCTGTGTAAGTGACCAGCAGAGTTTCTGGGTTAGCTGGTTAGAGCCACAGGCAGGTGCCGCTACTCAGATGAGGAGGCGGGGATGAACCCCCCAGGTAAGCGGAAGCACTGACCAGGGCTCAGAACCAGAAGCCGGTGATTCAGAAGTTTTGCTTTAAGAGAAAACTCAGAAAACCCTGGGAGAGGGGAGGTGGGAGGGAGAGAGACAAGACAGAGATGGGAGAGGCAGGGGACGGGGACAGCGGGCCTTTCCACTTTAGGAAGGGAGCACGTAGGGAAACAGCTTTTCCAGGAAGCACCTCCCAGCTTTTGCTCTGCTTCTCCATAAGTTCAGTTCAGTTCAGTTCAGTTGCTCAGTTGAATCCGACTCTGCGACCCCACAGACCTCAGCACGCCAGGTCTCCCTGTCCATCACCAACTCCTGGAGCTTACTCAAACTCATGTCCATCGAGTCAGCGATACCATCCAACCATCTCATCCTCTGTTGTCCCCTTCTCCTCTGTCGTCCCCTTCTCCTCCCACCTTCAATCTTTCCCAGCATCAGGGTCTTTTCCATTGAGTCAGTTCTTTGCATCAGGTGGACAAAGGATTGGAACTTCAGCATCAGTCCTTCTAATGAATATTCAGGACTGATTTCCTTTAGGATGGACTGGTTGGATCTCCTTGCAGTCCAAGGGACTCTCAGTCTTCTCCAACACCACAGTTCAAAAGCACCAATTCTAAAAAAAAAAAAAAAAAAAAGACAAAAGCACCAATTCTTTGGCACTCAACTTTCTTTATGGTCCAACTCTCATATCCATACATGACTACTGGAAAAACCGTAGCTTTGACTAGATGGACCTTTGTTGGCAAAGTAATGTCTCTGCTTGCTTTTTAATATGGTCTTTAGTTTGGTCATAACTTTTCTTCCAAGGAGCATGCATCTTTAACTTCATGGCTGCAGTCACCATCTGCAGTGATCCTGGAGCCCAAGAAAATAAACTAGAAATCTTTTCCAGAAAGCACCTCCCCACTTTGGCTCTGCTTCTCCATAAGTAAATACTTCAAAACCCAAGGTCAGGATGTTAGTACCGCTCTAGCGGTCATGGCTGGCTTACTTAATCAGAGCCATGATTTCAGGCAGCTGGCCACCAGGAGAACATGAGATCTAGGCCGGCTGCCCCTCAACCCCACGTGAGGGGGACTTGCTCACCCCCGACCCTGGAGGCTATTTTTATCTACTTGATGTGGTGTGATTAGTAAAGGCAATTAAGCAGTCAGATCAAAGCTGAGGGCCGCAGCCTTTTAGATGCTCTGTAACAACCCTGGAAAGGTTTGCAGAGATGAGCCTGGGGGAATCGAGCGTGCCATGAATAAACATCACCTGAGAGGATCAGGATGCCCTTATCCCAACCCTGGAAGAACGCTCAGGAAGGCAAAAGCAGAAATGCCTCGGGGAGGGGAGGGCCAGCCAGGAGGGAAGGCGGAAGCCCCGCCTTGCTTGCCCGTGCCTTGCCCAAGTCATGGGGCACAAGCTACCAGGGCTACCAGGGGAAGAGTGAACCCTTGAGAGCCAGGACACACCTGGTCTGCTGTCCGAATCCAGTGCAAGGCGCTACTTCCTGCTTTTCTGCAGCAATAAACTGAGGGCAGCAGACGGGCCTCTGAGGCCCATCCTGTATTTAGTTTTAGTTGGGGTCAGACTGGTTCCAAATAGGAAAAGGAGTACATCAAGGCTGTATATTGTCACCCTGCTTATTTAACTTACATGCAGAGTACGTCATGAGAAACGCTGGGCTGGAAGAAGCACAAGCTGGAATTAAGATTGCCGGGAGAAATATCAATAACCTCAGATATGCAGATGACACCACCCTTATGGCAGAAAGTGAAGAGGAACTAAAAAGCCTCTTGATGAAAGTGAAAGAGGAGAGTGAAAAAGTTGGCTTAAAGCTTCACATTCAGAAAACTAAGATCATGGCATCCGGTCCCATCACTTCCTGGCAAATAGATGGGGAAATAGTGGAAACAGTGACAGACTTTATTTTTGGGGGCTCCAAAATCACTGCAGATGGTGACTGCAGCCATGAAATTAAAAGACGTTTACTCATTGGAAGGAAAGTTATGACCAACCTAGACAGCATATTAAAAAGCAGAGACATTACTTTGCCAACAAAGGTCCATCTAGTCAAGGCTATGGTTTTTCCAGTGGTCATGTATGGATGTGACAGTTGGACTATGAAGAAAGCTGAGCACCGAAAAATTGATGCTTTTGAACTGTGGTGTTGGAAAAGACTCTTGAGAGTCCCTTGGGCTGCAAGGAGATCCAACCAGTCCATCCTAAAGGAGATCAGTCCTGTGCGCTCATTGGAAGGACTGATGCTGAAGCTGAAACTCCAATACTTTGGCCACCTCATGCGAAGAGTTGACTCACTGGAAAAGACCCTGATGCTGGGAGGGATTAGGGGCAGGAGGAGAAGGGACGACAGAGGATGAGATGGCTGGATGGCATCACCGACTCGATGGGCATGAGTTTGAGTAAACTCAGGGAGTTGGTGATGGACAGGGAGGCCTGGCGTGCTGTGATTCATGGGGTCACGAAGAGTCGGACACAACTGAGCGACTGAACTGAACTTATATACATAAGGGGCTTCCCAGGTGGCGGTAAAGAATCTGCCTGCTAATGCCAGAGATGCAAGAGACGCAGGTTCGATCCCTGAGTCAGGAAAATCCCCTGGAGCAGGAAATGGCAACCCAGTCCAGTATCCTTGCCTGGAAAATTCTACGGACAGGGGAGCCTGGCGGGCCGCAGGACCCTCCGGTCCTGTCCTGCACAGGGCAGTGTGAGCGCTGGGCGAGCGAACAGGGTTGGAGAATCTCCACCCCTTTTAATACGGGAGCCACTGAGGCCCTGCGAGCGGCCAGGCCCGGGGAGGGAGAGGAAGGTGCAGCACACAGAAGCCGGGGAGAGCTCTGACTGTCGCCAAGGGCCGCAGAGGGTGACCTCAGCCGTCTGCTGAGCGGGTGCCAGGAGCCACGCCAGCCAGGCCACTGAGCAGCCCGGGGCAGACACCTGGGCGGGCCAGGCACCTCCTGGAGACCATCCTGGGGGTGGTGGGGGGAAGGTCAGGGCAGGTTCAGGCTGTGAAGACCCCATGGGGAAGCCCCCAGGGGGCAGGGGGCCGCTGACCAGAGGAAGCAGGCATGCAGAGCGCCCAAGGAGTCAGAGAAGCAGAGGGAAGCAGAGACAGAGAGACAGAGAGAGGCAGAGACAAGGGGTGCCCAAGGCAGGGAGAGGAGGAGAGGAGGGGTGGGTGCTGAGGGAAGGCTGGGTGCGGGGCCTGCTCTGGCTTCTGTGGGTCCTAGGTCCCCGGGCACGGTGGTGCCTACCGCCCCAGTCCCTGAGGCCCTTTCCCTGGCACGGAGTCACCCAAGCTCTCGGGAAGGGAGTGGCTTCATTTTAGCCAAAGGTCCCGGTTCAAGGTGGAAGGTCAAACTGCAGAAACTGTCTGCGTTGAGATGAAGGGAGCCCCTTCTGGGTACAGGCAGGTGGATGCAGGACGGGGTCACTCTGTGCAAGGGGTTGGGGGGCATGGGGGATGAGACCCCGGGAAGGAGGGGCACTCAAGTGGGAGCCAGCCTGTGTCTCTCTCAGCTCGGCCCCAGCAGCCTCTGGCCCAGCACCAGGCGTGCCTCGACCGAGACAGCAGGGACACCACTAGGGAGGGGGTCTAGGGGCTTGTTTTAAGGTGCACACGTCCTAAGATGTATGTACAGCGTGGCGACCGCAGTTCAGACACGGAGCTGCATATTCAAAAGCTGCTAAGAGAGTAGGACAACCTAGACAGCATATTAAAAGGCAGAGACATTACTTTGCCAACAAAGGTCCATCTGGTCAAGGCTATGGTTTTTCCAGTAGTCGTTTATGAACGTGAGAGTTGGACTATAAAGAAAGCTGAGCACTGAAGAATTGATGCTTTTGAACTGTGGTGTTGGGGAAGACTCTCGAGAGTCCCTTGGACAGCAAAGAGATCCAACCAGTCCATCCTAAAGGAGATCAGTCTTGGGTGTTCATTGGAAGGACTGATGCTGAAACTGAAACTCCAATACTTTG